TTCGCAAACTTTGGGAGAGAATTACGGCTGCCTGCAGACCTGATCACCGGAATACCACCTGATGCCCCACGCAGTATAACCGATTATGCAAATGACTTGCGGAACAAAATGAATGACATTTATGAGCACGTCAGACAGACGGGCCAGCAAACGTCTGAGAAGTTGAAAACACGGTATGACCGCAAAATGAACAACAAGGGGTTTGATGAAGGTTCACTAGTGTGGTTACACAATCCAGTTCGCAGCAAAGGGAAATCTCCTAAGCTTCAAGCTAAATGGGACGGACCGTACCGGATTGTGACAAGGATCAATGATGTAACCTACCGGATACAGAAAGGTGCCAGAGGTACTCCTAAGATTGTCCATGTGGATCGACTGGCGCGTTATTATGGGGCCAATAATGCTCGGGACGAGCATGTCTTAGGAGGGGGCAGTGTTGCGCGCCACTATTAATGTCTTGTACATGGCAACACTAGTTACACTAGTGCCCTCTAGTGTCGAGTAAATGAAAGTATTGCGCGCCACTATTAATGTCTTGTACATGGCAACACTAGTTACACTAGCGCCCTCTAGTGTCGAGTAGCAGAACTAGGAGAGTCAAGATCCTTCCAGAAATTTCGGGACCGATATGTACTCAAACATTCTAGATGTCGCTACAGTAGAAGATTCTGGAAACTATCTGAGGCCCTATATAAGGCCGGTATAGACCAAGACCGAGGTAGTATTGAATTGGCGATACAAGAGAATACTTCGAAGCGAAATAACGGCGAACTGTGTTTTATTATTAGTGTGATTTTAGATTGTAATTAGTGTTGTGTAATTAAAGTGTCAATTTTGGTAATTCAATCGGCAGTTTTTAATTGTCTCGAACCCCAAGCTCGTAACAATACTACGAAAATACACCGATTTCCGATTTTCGACACATAAGCGCACAGGACGAACGCTGACAGTATACTAATTAAAGCTCCGCCCACTGTGATGACGTCAGGACCTAGTTAAAATCACAGTGCACAGTTGCTTAGGCCGGCTCCTCTTTGTATTTACTCCGTGGTATCTATCAGGCTTAAACCAGTATCAGTTTCGCGAAAGAAATTTCGCGGAAATATGCGAACTTAAATTTAAAGTGTGGAATTCGACAACAAATGTTAAATTTCGCGAAAACTGTGGCTCCGCGGGTAAGGAACTTATTTCGTGAGAAAAACTCAAGCCTTAGTTAAGGTTTAAGCCCGAGACTATTTTAAGGGCATGTAAGACGGACAACATACAAAACAGACAATGTCAGTTTTTTTTTACATAGCAATTTGCTTAGTTCGTAAATTATTAGCCATTGCTCGACATGTATTTAAAAAGCTTATTTCATAAGGTGCTCGTTTTCTAAAGAATATTCCCTAGAATTAAAAGAGCAATTTTATTAAATTGTTAATTGTTAAAATAATTAAATTAGCGTATAAACTTGAACAGTGTTATGAAAATTGTTATTTTCTAGCGGCTGTATTATTCAAACGATTACATTTGTTAATATTAACCCACCCATGCTTTCCACGCATTTGCAGGTGCATAAGAAAAAAAACTTTTTACTAACCTTACGGCTTTTATCCGATGCTCGAACACTTGCAAGTTGATGTCGTAATCACCCCAGTTGGCCATTATCTTGTTGTCGATGAGCGTTGCGAACATTTGTGTCTCAAGGAACCGCGATAGAAACGGTCGATGCCGTTGGGGCTGGTCGGAAAGGAAAGACGCTTTGTCGAAATTCACCATTGACTCGCGCGCCGATAGCCATGAATCTCGATCCTGAAAAATCAAATAAAACAATAGTACCAAAACATTCTATTTAAATTCTCTCTCAACTTTGGTCAAAAGTTGAAAATGTTCACTTTATTAAAATTCAATTCTAACTAAATAAACAATCACTTTTATCAAAGGGTGAGAGAGAATTTAGGTAAGATTGTTTTTTACTGTTGTTAAAGTTATTAAGAGAAAACTAATTTACTTGTTGAGTGATCAAATAGTATAAAATCATTCAGTTTTACTTGCTGGTTGTGTTTTTCTTTTGCGTCTCACATTTTTTAATGGAAGATATGCATTTTCCAAAATTAATTTTGGTAAGCGTAATTTTGTACAATCATTGATTGCACACTTTACAAAAAAAATTTAATTAAAATACACTAATGGGGCATGATGTGCCCTAAATAAGTAAGAAAAATTAAAGAACGTACAAACCTGATCTGGCATGATCACAAAGTTTTCGTACATAAGGAACATGTGTACAAATCTGTTAAGAAATGTTTCTCTAATGGCAATATTGAAACGAATATCCTCGTTGTACTGCTCTTCGTCGTTGAGTGTTTTCTTTTTTGTCGCTGGCATCACCGTATCCGCGTCCACGTCATCTATGTTCACACCTGAAAATAATGACAAAATATAAGAACGAAATCATTTTTATTTAAAATTTAGTTAAAACCTACAGTTGTCAACTCACCTGCGCAGCGTGGCAGCTAATATATATATATTTGCCATAGCTGAAACGCTTAGCAAGTATTTGCGTGGTAACTGTAGCAAATATTTTCATTTTGAGATACTATGGAGGAGGTCTATGTTCAGCAGTGGATTTTTGATAGGTTGTAACGGTAACAATCTGAATCTAATAAAAAAATTTCAAAGAGTAGCCAAATTTTATATATAAGTTTAAATAATTATATAAATAATGATATACCTAGCAGTGTAACAATTAACGTAATAGCCCCTCTACACTACTCGCGAAGTTGATCGAAGAGAATAGTGTAGAGAGGTACTTCGATTCGTTTCGTGCAATCTCGCTTCGCCTCGGGCAATTTCCGATCGCTGTCGGGTTTTTGCGCCCGAGTCAAAGGACTTCGCGAAGTGCCTCGAAGTTACACGAAGCGTCTCACTACACTAACCGGCGTACGCCAGATATATATATTTTATATAAATATTGAATATGTAGCTTTCTACATAATTATTTATCTATAGTTAACGCATTGACGTCGTACTGTTCACACAATTAGGTACCTATAACACTTGCCTCTTGAACGTTATTCATGTTAAGGGTGAGGACGACTCAAGACAACTGAGTTCTTCGCGAAGTAGCACGAGTGTGTAGTCAGGTTCTTTGGACTGCGATCAACTTCGACGAGCACTTCTTCAAAGTTACTTCGCGCGTAGTGTAGAGGAGGCATAAGGTGTGTGCGGAAGGACGAGCAACAAGGTACCTAAATTTTTTAACCGAGCGACACTTACAGAGTGTGTGCGTGCGTAGTAAAATAGTAGGTGTTAGATATTTATGATGACAATCAGTTAAAATAATGCATTACCAATTACCACGTATTCTGAATTAAAGATAAAAAGGATTGAATATATGAGATTTTTTTTAATTAATTTTTCTTCACCATCGCGTATATTACTTAGTCTGAACCTTCTCTGCTAATTTGAACGTATATTGCAAAATAACCCTGTAAGTATAAAAAGGATAGGATTTTGTAATTTCGACACCCTACTACCTCAATACCCTACAATTTTAAAGATAACTTTCAATCCAGTTATGGGCTGTTCCTCTAATTTAGGACCCTTCGAATTTTCTAGAATAAAACTGTGAGACACCAAGTCAAAAACTTTGCTCATATAAAGATAGAAAGCATTATGTTTTCACAAATATTTGCGTAAAATAACAGACTAATAGCATCAGTCTGTTATTTTACGCTAGTGTTCTTTTCTTTGTTTGAGTCTTTATTCTTTTTATGATCTTCAAATTAATAAGAGGCGCCATTTTTATTTTTTCCTAACTTATTAATCTTAACATGTTTAATCCATAGATATCTTAATTGAGCAAAATGTATGTGTTCTTACCCGTTCGTTTAACAATGTCGACAATTCGCTGCAAGGCGTCGAGTCTGCGCGGCACCCGGCGGGTCGGTGAGGCGGGTGCTCCCGGCGACCCAGGTGGAGACGCGTTCAAAGGCCGGTTTTCGTCCCACTCTAACACATCGTGAAAAGAATGCTTGCGTCGCAGGCCACCTGTGTCGGGCAATTGGGAACTTGACAATAACCTTGTGTTTTGTGTCAACTCCTTTCCCATCGAGAAACCTCAAAACAAGATGTGACAGACCAAAGATGGGCATTGGTAATATATGTAATTATTGTGACCTAAACACAATACCAAGGGCCATATTGAAGAAAACAAGGTTAAAATTTAGAATTGTTTGGCAGGAGGAGGGGGCAGGGGTTGAGGGAAGGGGAGGGGGGTCCCCTTACTCCCGACACCACTCCCATTAAAAGGTAATATACCGTTCTTGAGAAAAATCAAAAAGAAAATTCCATAGACCTAACCTGAAAGTAACATTTATTGTCTCCGGCAGGAGGGGGGAAGAGGGTAGCAGTAGTGTGCCCTATCAGGGAAAGCCCCTCCACCTTTCCCTCGTTGCGGAAAAGTATAGTTTGTGAGTAATGTTTTTTTTGTAAAATCGTAACCTCACTTTTTTACACAGGAATATTGACCCAAAGCTACTTTTACAACGGCTTCGGCGCTGCGGGAAGTGCAGCCCCTTCGCCCTTGCGTAGCGAATCACAGGCATGCTCACTCCCGCCGCTTCGGCTTATTGGTCGCCTTCGGGACTGCCCTCCCTCCACGCCTACGGCTTTACAAAAACACTCTAGGAGTAGGGCAGACAAGACTACGTAGAGTCGGGGCGTGCTGGTTTAATTTTAGTACAGATTCGATCATTTCAGATATCTATAAAGTCAGGTTGCCTTCGCTCCCACCACAACCTTCTAACCTATTATAACTGAAATTATTTCTGGGTGTTTCTGGGCAGTTTTAAACAATTCAGAAATAAAACCGGTAAAATTTTTCTATTATTATAGGACACTAGATTTACATCCTTGTCGCACTTAAACAAAATTCTGTATGCTATCCAGCTTTCACAGTAATTTTTCCATGTTTTACGCTTTTTAGGTTATAATAGTTTTTATTTATTTTTTCGATAATGGTGCATTACCTTTTAATGTGAGTGGTATTATTATAATCGGGGACCAAATCTCTACCAAATAAAACTCCTTACTCCGCCAAATTCGTGTCAAACGATTCTAAATCCAACCAGAAAACAAATACATCTTATTTGTATATTTTAAATAGGTAGTATACATTAATTTAATTTAAAATAAGAAATCGATCAAAGTACAAAATTATTACAACTAACACTTAGGTGTGAGGGACACACTTTTACGCTATGCGACTAAGGAAGAGGCTCTGACGACCAACCGATTGCGCAAAATTTATCCACTGAGTATCACCACGCATGACTAGAACGTACGATCATCGAATGGCGCGCTCAATATAGCGAGTAATGGCAATACCATCGGCAGTGCTCTGTTCGGATCAGGGTGATCCATCTTTGGATGAAAGCTGAGAAATTTACACACAATCATAATTTTGTCTATGTGTGATTTGGGGGACTAAAATTTTAAAAATTATATCGCCATTTCTTTCCTTCACTATGCTTGAGATTGCCATTCTAAGAAATTTGAAAAGGGCAAGATCATCTTATCACTTTTCGCGAGTGTCCTAAAATAGGATAAGAAGAACCTAAGACAATATAATGGTGAATCTATATACTTTTTGAATTTATTGCCTGTTGTAGGGATTATTACATATATTGCCTCGAATTTCATCTTTTTCAAATGCTAATTTTGCTGATGTAAATTTACCTTATGCTCTGTGAAGAATAACTCACTAACAATAATATAATTATGTTGATATGTATACTCTAATAACATGCGTGGCAATATTATGTGATATATTATAAAAAATGTACAGATAATGTATAGATTTGTAAAACAATCTGCTTTCGGAAAATAAAATTACATAACTATAACAATTTATAGTTTTATTTAACCCCACATTTAAGTGATTTCGAGTCATTTTGGTGCAAATCTCTCATATGTATGGGAATCCACCCAATAGGTTTATGTGTTTGTAGTCTTGAACCAAAATTACTCGATTTGTCTTAGATAAAAAGTTTAAAAGTTACAGAATACTAAGGTTTGAAATTCCGGTTAGTTTCATATGGGCGCTCGCTGTGGTCGCTCATAGACGCGTGTGTCATTTTTTTCTTTTGGAGACACCATCCTTTTATCGGTAGGAATAATAATGTTCTGTGATTCTCCGTGGCGCAGTGTCTTAGCAATGAGTTGTAGCGCTGGGGTCGCGGGTTCGAATCCCGAACGCAACGAGTATTTGTATGGCCTACAAATATTTGTTCCGGGTCTAGATGTTTGTCCTCGTGCAATTTATGTTTGTAAACTGCCTCCACGATACAGGAGAAAATCCTAGTGTGGAGGTACCGTTTCAAAAAAAAAATTAACTGCAGCCGCCATGTTTTTTCGTCGCACGTTGCGACAAAATGCTCAATACCATCCACACCACCCCCAGCCCAGCAGCATCTAATAGTCCACCACCGCGCAATTTTCCAAATTTTTTTCTCTTCGCACGACTATTTTGTGGATACGATTTCTCTGAACCAATATGTAATCTTCAGACCTTCAAGAAAAGAGCCTACTGCTTCCTCAAATGCCGACATTGTACCTGCGATTCGTCTGGTGTCGAATATGTTCGTGGACGGTGGTAATCACTTACCGTCAGGTGAACCACAAGCTAATTCAATCCCTCTACTTTCTAAAAATAAATCTACCTGATTAATTTCAGAACAATTTCTTACCCGATGGCAATGTACAACTACTACTCATGCCGTCATTCATATGTTTATATGTAGTCCCATTAATTGGCACTCCAAGTCTTGTATGTTCTGTTTCTGGTCTTTGGATCTGTTATAAGAAAACAGTAAATAGTATGAATAAATATATAACATGATAAAAATAATAAAAAATATAATGTTAACTCAGGTGTAACACCTATGAGTCACTAATATTACTAACTCATAGGTGTAATACCTATGAGTTAGTATTAGTATAGGCATAACACTCATGAAGCGTGCACTTTTGGGTTGTCCAAATTTTTATATTTTATTTTCAACTAGCTGTTCCCCGCGACTTCGCTCGCGTGTTAGGGTTTTTATGTTTTTGCGCGGAACCCTAATTCTTTTTCTAAAATAAAAGTAGCCTAAGTTACTCCTTGTGAAATCAGCTATCTGCCAGTGAAAATCCCGTCAAAATAGGTCCAGCCGTTTCGGAGATTAGCCGGAACAAACAGACAGACAAAAATTTAAACATTGTATTTCAGTTATAAGTACCGTATTTACTTTCATATGCATTTAGTAAAAAACTGTGATTTTGACATTACAAACAGACACTTCAAATTTATTCATTTGTATAGATACTTATATGCATCAAAGGCAATAGTTTTTACAGTTCGTTGCATATATTATGACAATATAAAAAATTTGGGTTTGTGAATGTAATATGTAATATGTTTTGATTATATAATACATTTTTTTTATAGAAATAGGGTGACAAACGAGCACACAGTCCACCTGATGGTAAGTGGTTGCTGAAGCCCATAGACATCTACATCTCTCCTCGAAAAATAATAAATTTTCGTATTTACATAAAACATTTACCTGATGCTTATCTAAAACATGATTTAGCTCCTCTATAAATGGCGTTCTATGAGGAAGAATTGGCAATTCTTCTGGCAGCTGTATATCTGGTTTGTCGATGTCAACTAAACAGAGCGCTGCTTCGGAGCCAAGGGCAAAGTTTCTTGGTCCGCTACTAATTGCGGCACTATCGGCGTGAAGACCTGAATAATAATTAATATAATAAAATAATAATCAATATTATTATTACACACGCATTACGCGTTAGTTTAGTTAGTAAAAATATAGTAAAGTCTTCGTCTCCTTTGAGATCAACTCTCCCTAAGCTGCAGCAAACGTAAGTGGCGTAGTCGGTAGGATATTTCACGGACCTGTGGCAGAAACTGAAGGGGTCCCAACCATTGTAAGTGCACTAGAATAGTTCGTGTGTTGCTTCCTAGATTCCACTATTCTCTCCACCTAATTTAATCCTAGTATATCATTCCATTTAATAATTATAGTGATAGGTCTAAATCGTCATGATCATCGTCATCGTCATGATCATCATCATCATCATCATGATCATCGTCATCGTCATGATCATGATCATCGTCATGATCATGATTATCGTCATCGTCATGATCATCGTCATCGTCATGATCATCGTCATCGTCATGATCATCATCATCATCATCATGATCATCGTCATCGTCATGATCATCGTCATCGTCATGATCATCATCATCATCGTCATGATCATCATCATCATCATCATGATCATCGTCATCGTCATGATCATCATCATCATCATCATGATCATCGTCATGATCATCGTCATCGTCATGATCATCATCATCGTCATCATCGTCATGATCATCGTCATGATCATCGACATGATCATCGTCATCGTCATAATCATCATCATCGTCATGATCATCGCCATGATCATGATTATCGTCATCGTCATGATCATCATCATCATCATCATGATCATCGTCATCGTCATGATCATCGTCATCGTCATGATCATCATCATCATCATCGTCATGATCATCGTCATCGCCATGATCATCATCATCATCATCATGATCATCATCGTCATCGTCATGATCATCATCATCATCATCAAGATCATCGTATTCGTCATGATCATCGTCATCGTCATGATCATGGTCATCGTCATGATCATCGACATGATCATCGTCATCGTCATAATCATCGTCATCGTCATGATCATCGACATGATCATCGTCATCGTCATGATTATCGTCATCGTCATGATCATCGTTATCATCATGATACGAACGACATGAGACGTCATGTAGCCGTGGCTGTCAACTGGACGGGCAACTTCATTGTTGGACTCAATTTCTTGCCTCTGTCCGTAAGTATAGCTTCCCTAATATGGAATAATAACCCTAATCAACCCTCCCTAAGCTGCCGCATACGTAAGTGGTGCAGTCGGTAGGATATTTTCACGGACCTGTGGCAAAAACTGAAGGGGTTTACAATGGTTGGGACTATTCTAATAGTTCGTGTGTTGCCTCCTAGATTCCACTATTCTCTTCACCTAATTTCATTAATCCTAGTATATCATTCCAGAGCCCTTTAATATTTATAGTGACAGGTTAGGTAGGTTAGGGTTAGGTTAACTATTTTCAAGATTTTCCACCCTAGGGTTTCTATAGACAATTCTGGCTACCGATGAGCCTAAATTGCGACAGGCCCGCCGACAGGTAGAACATAGGAATAGGGATATTTTTTCTTATCAACCACTTAGTTTCGATATGGCCCGGCACCATGACAAGGTATCTAAGGCAATACAGGTTATCCCAGAGTTTGATGAGAATCCAAACGTACTGATTAGATTACTCAAGAATGTGATCAGTTAGCACGGCTCTTGGTAGTGAATTCACGAATGTATGTCTATTGAATGGGATACTTAATAAAATTACTGGTACCGCTGCATATACATTAATTCTTCTAATGGAATACCCGACAGTATGTTAGGTATTCGGACGGCTTTAATTAAACACGGAAACCCACCGCCTAGTAGCTACTTTAAGACTCGCGAAATGCATGTTAATTAATGTGCAGGCATTAACACCGATTATAATGCTTACGACTGTATTAATACTAACCTAGTTTCAGATTACAATTATAGTAATGACTATTCCACCGATTCTACTTACGAATCAACATATTATTGTAACACATCTAAGCAATCAGGATAAGATGGTATCAGAGTTCAATAATCATTTTAGTTTAAATTAGGAATAGATGTCTAAACATAGTCTTCAACATTCAACATTCTTGAACAGTTATTAGAGTAGGATTAAACTCTACAGTTATTAACTCTAAAGTGTAACTAATATTAAGAAGTAATGTTTATTGTGGTAGGCAAATAGTATTCGTATTTAATTTTCCAATAATTTCCAAAGAAAATTTGCTAAAGAGTGCCCAGGCTCTGCAGACTGCATATATGGATTATTCGACGATACATACCAAGAAGAAAACCGAAGAAAATCCTTCAAATATTGTACGAGTGGGAACCCCTGAAGACGTTTCGCCTACATTTTGCTGAATGTGCTGCAATAGTCATCGCGCTGAGGGTGGAGGAGTTACATATGCCTACCGACCTTGCCATCACGAAGAAACCTACCATACAACACCGCCTGCTAAGCAAATAGCAGCACCTCTTTAAAACGTGAATCCATTAGTACTTACATTACTTAAGAATATTCAACATAAAAACTAAGGTTTAAATGTTAAGATCGTCCATTATTTTTGTGAACATAAATTGTCACAGTAGTTAAGTTAGCTTGTAAGTTAGAAAACAAAAGTAATATAGGAAAGTATTTGTCTCCTTTGCCGTGAGTAGAACCATGGTAGCTCAGATGGTTAGCGCTCGCTGTAAGCTTCACAGTACTCGAGCAACCCGGGTTTGATCCTGCATGTCTGAGAAATAAGAAAAAAATATTTCGAAGACATGTGAAGTTTGCCAACACGCATTGGAGCAGCGCGGCGGACATTTCCTTGCCCTAAAACCCTCTCAGAAATGAGAGAAGGCCTGTGCCCAGCGTAAAAACGTAAATAGACTGCAACTTTAACTTTACTCCTTTCACATCACACATATTTTTTTATGTGGTAGAGCCATGCTGCAGCTATATTACTGGTGCGGTTGTAGCAGGAATGGCGCGGCTCAACCGGGGAAGGACATTACGCTCTCACAGAAGACCAGCGTAAAATAGCAGCTTAACGCTGCTATGTTTCGTATGGTGAGTGTAGAGAACCGGAGACCCCTTTTACTGAAAACGAGGCATTCCATCTTAGTCCTCACGGGTGACAACGCATCTGCATTTTGATTCGTAATCGAGAATAGATGTAGATATCTATGGGCCACAGCAACCACTTACCATCAGATGGACTGTGTGCTCGTTTGTTACCCTTATCCTATTAAAAAAAAAAAAAACATCAACCCTCCTTAAGCTGCCGCAAACGTAAGTCGTTCATGTAGTAAAAAATAATATCTGTAGTCACCCATTATTAAGATAATAAAATACAAAAAGAAATTCTAATTAATCATAATCAACACTCAAATATCATCATCATTATCATTACAGCTTTCACAAGTCCACTGAACTGAGTCTTTAAGCTGCTTTAAGCTCCGGTTGGCTTGCACTTACAACGCCACGACAGGCCCAAGAAATACCTTAAACACGGTCCGGAACCACCTGCACCCATCGATCCTACTTGTCTTTCCAAAAAGTCACGTCACGTCACCATCTAGAGGGGTGCGGCCTACACTCAAATATAATAATCAATTAATAAATAATATTGTTAAGAGAAATTACCCATTACAAACGGCACAGGAGCATCCAAAAAATGGTACAATGGCGCCGGTAAAATCGGTACGTACACATGAGCCCAGGAGAAAGGAAGCAAAAGCGATACTATACACTCAGCAACTAGCATCAGTTTGTTATAATCTGTGGATCACAAGTTATAGCGTAACATTTTAGAATTTTTTAAATTATTATGAATGAAATACGAAGGTCGATTTAATAATAAAGATAATTGGATATTTGTAATACAGATTAAAATAAATTGAATAAAACTGTACTCAACCAAATCTAAGAAATACCTTTTGGCATCTGACTTATTGGACTAGGCATGATGGCAACCAACAAATCTGAACGTACAATATTCGATTCTTATTAAAGTCTATCTTATCGATTCTTTAGAGTTAGTAGTCATCTACAGTTTTGTTTCGATTAATACCAGAATAAATTAGAAACGGATAATTTAAAACACAAGATTTATCACTTTCATTGTATTTATTGTTACTACTTAATTCTAGAGGCAGTTAATAAATTTAATATTGAAACTAGATTAAAAATAAATTTATTCAATCACTTTCACTACAACCAATTGAGCTGTCTTTGTTTAGATTAATTATTGTTTGATTTTCAATTGTATATGTAAAATGTATCTTTCAAAGTCAACCATATTTTTTTTTGTTTTCACCAGCACTTTTGCCCAATCATTCTTTGTGTCACATGAATGAAAAGAGCACATGCTTCCTTCAGCAAACATTCCATCTTCTTCATGAAGCGCAAGAGCAGTTAATTTCGATTAATTACCGGTAAATTTATCGCTCCTTCAATTACCGGTTAAAAAATTAACCGGTTTTTATTAAACCTAAACAATAAAGGTTACCGGTTACTTAATGGTTTTGACACCCAAATTAACCGGTTAATTCCGTAAAACATAAAGGCAGTTATGAATAGGACAGGTAGACTCACGTTGTACGAGGGCGGCACTAAAAATTTCGGGAATCAAGGAAGTGACACAACATTACTATTTAAAAATGTATTTATTGCTTTTCGAAGTATTCTCCGCGAAATTTGACACATTTTTCCATACGATGGAACCAATCATTGAAGCAACCATTCCATTCGGAAGTTGGGGTCTCCAAAATGGCCGTTTTGTAGGCGTCCACAGCTTTTTCATGTGATGAAAATCTCTGTCCACGCAATTTATTCTTTATTTTAGGGAAAGTATAGAAATCATTAGGGCTTAGGTCGGGGCTGTACGGCAGATGGTCTAATAATTCTATGTTTTCTTGCTCTAAAAACACTTTTGTTCTGTGTGCGGTGTGAGAACTCGCATTGTCGTGATGGAGGATGATGCGGCGGTTGCAGTTCTCTTTACGAAGTTCAGAAACGACCTGTGGCAAACAAATGCTAGCATACCATTCTGCATTAACCGTTCTTTGTCCCTCAAGAGGAATAGTCGTAACATGGCCGGTTTTGGAGACAAACGTGGCCACCATTTTTTTTGCAACACTCCGTGAACGAACTATTTTTGTTGGCTTTAACTCATTTTCGAACACCCAAACTCGTGACTGGTTTTTTGTTTCGGATTCGTAAGCGTATATCCAGGATTCGTCACCTGATACGATGTTGTATACAGCATTTGAGGATCCTGCGTGGAATCTTTCGAGAGTTCTGACGCACCAAGTAACGCGAGCCGCTTTTTGCTCTTCACAGAGCGAATGCGGTATCCATCGGGAATACAACTTTTTTACACCTAATTGTTCATGCAAGATTATTTGTATTTGACTCATGCCAATGTCTAAAGTTGCCTGAATTTCGCGGTATGTCACATGTCGATCGTCCTCAATCAGCTTACGCACAGCATCAACGTTTTCTTGGGTGACTGCAGTTTTTGGACGACCTTGACGGGGATCATCACTGAGCTTGACACGTCCACGTTGAAATTCAGCAAACCAGCGATAAATTGTGGTTTTGGATGGTGCTTCATCACCAAATGCAGAAATCATCCGGTAAACACACTGTTTTTGTGTTAAACCACTTCGAAAGACATAATAAATCATCGCTCTTGAATTTTCTCGAGTCAATTCCATTTTCTCAACGACTAAACAAGTTTGACAAAACCTTGTGACAAGACCGAGAATCTTTTTTTAAATAAATAAATGGTATTCAATTTTAAAAAAACCAAGGACTTTTCAATTAAAAAGATTTTAATATGACAAGAACAGTGGAAATATTCCATTCCCGATACTTTTAGTGCAGCCTATGATAGATGCCGATATAAGATGCTTATCGGGCATCGCCGCATGCGGTCATACTTATGATCAATTATCCGCCTTTAAGCGATACCTTTTTTCTGTCGCAATTAGGGTGTCTAGTGGGGGTTTGGCGTTTACGAATAACGTGAAAGTATTAGAGAAGTTTTGAAGAAAGAAAAGCAGTTATTGTGTTGGTTTTATTCGTTAAGACTGGACTTGTCTCATAACGAAGAAAATAATTTATTCTTGTGTATCGGTTGTTTATTTATGATGGGCAGAAAAAAAGTAAATAGAATTTATTCCATGTTTACGTTTTAACAGTGGTAGAGCCACG